CGTCATTGTAAACGCAAACAACAGCTGGTTTTGACGTTTGCCGATACTGCTTACGTTAGAAACTCCTCATCGAACCCACGCGACTAATCATGAGAGTGGGAAGATCCGCGCTATTTGATCAGAACGAAAGGTTCGGGTCACCCTGATAGGGTGCCCTGGGTGTTGTCCACCCTCATCGACCGAAAATGGAAATTCGTATCATGGTTTTTTTGATTTCATATGGAAATTTCCCTTTTATCGCGAGACCTAGAAACTGGAAATGTATTTCATGGATAAAGTAGCTCATGGTTAGTGGGTGACCCAGAATAAGTTCTTTAACCTAGAGTGCGCCAAGCCCTTGACTTCCGTTCAGCATTGTAGTGTGACATGGAAACTAATCTGCCCAAATAATTACGACTAAGGTCAGTGCATGTCCAAGCAGGTAATTCCATCCTCCCGAGCAAGTATGTTTCGAACAGTTCGCGATGGGCAACCCTCTACTTGGTATTCGGTTGCTGGAGGAGAGAAGAAGGGGGTAGTATTTGGCATTTGGAGTTTTTTCTCTGACTGCTGATTTCCCCAGCTTCACCCGCGCTACCCCTGCCCTCCCCCTCCGCTTGCCGGAAGAGCCACAATTATTTCTGACAGCCTACTGAAGGTGTCTACCTTCTGTTCTCATGGAAAAGTTATGAGGAATTCTGGCAAAGGTGGTTCGCAAGTTGTGAAAAGGTGAAGTGGGAGGGCGGGGGTTCACAGTTCACAAGAAATTGGGGGTGGGCAGGGGAAGCGGCGTTTTTTGCGAAATTTCCCCCTAGCAGCAGGACGTACCCTGGTTGTGGACCAGTCGACCAGACCTGGATCAAATGAATGAGTGAAAGTGAACGGCCAGAACGAAATTCGATCCCCAGGGCTGAGTCATCGCGAAACTCCAGCAGCGGCGCTTAGCCAACCCTTAGGAACGGATTGCTGGAGATTTAAATGAGCAGCTGTTCAGATGTCCGGCACCGGAAATTAGGAAACGCTTTGAATGAAAGAGTGCACTTTTGATTACAAGTTTGTCTTTGAGAATTCCTTTTGGAAAAGAAAAAGCTCATTTGAAAGTACTTAAAAACTAAAAATAAAGAACAAGTCACGGGAAAAACTCTAAAAATAGTAGTTGTAAGAGAGGAGACAATGTACAAAAAAACGCTACAAACGTCCATGCATTGCATCCTCCCATACAAGCCTGCTGGCAAACCTTCCTTGGTAGGATGGGGACAAGGAGCAGCCTCACTGGCAGAATTTAATCGAGGAGGCTGCACTTGGTCGCTTGGGAGGGGGGGGGGGATGCCTCTAACCTCAAAGGAATTTCTTTTTCTGACCCGTCAACAGAGATGTTTTACTGATGCTACTCATGTACGAGTCTTTCTTCTGATGTCCAGAGCTGCGTTGAAACCTGCCATCATATCAAGGTGGTGCCGCCGCAAAAATACCGTAGAACACCATTTCTAACAGCTGAACAGAGTATTTGACTGGTGGCGACCTTCTTGCCACCTGACGCCAATTACCTGCTTTTTGAGAACACATAGAAGTATTGCAGGTAAGATGAGGAAGGGGGTCGTACCAGATGAGAAACTTTGCTAGGCGGGAGGGGGAGGGGGGAGGAGTTACTGAAACTGCATTCTCATCACACGTATGCTTTACCATGATGATCTATAAACCCTTTATGTTATGACCTGATTCGCGCGACAGCCGATCGAGATGGGAGCTCCTGATCGTGCAGTCTGGGGGCAAGTAGGTCGCCATCTGCCACTCACTTCCATCATCTCACTCCAAACATAATAATAGTAAGAAATAATGTAAAATATCACAAGTCTAGGGTGATATGAAAAGCAAGGTATAGATTTCAGCGATTTGAAAAAGTTCTAAATTAAAAAATTAAAAAATAAAAATAAAAATATAAATATTAAATTAAATATAAATAAAAATTAAATAAAAAATTAAAATTAAATTAAAAAAAGAAGCAAAAATAATAACTGTAAATTATAAATATGAATTTGGGACTGTTTCATAAGTATTCTGGGCATTTTAAGAAGAGTTTTCAACTAGAAAAAAACAATTTCAAGAATCAGTTCTCTCCGGACAGGTAAGGAATGAAAGCAAGCGCGAATTCCTTTTTTTCCATGAACCGGTTCAAAACTAGTCACACGGACTGTATTCTCGCGCCCGGTTAATTGAAACTATATGTACTTATGTGAGAAGCCGTCAATGAGACTGTAGGGCTGCCACCAAAACTCAGGGGCTAAATTTATGGGCATGTGAGGGCTACAAGTTTCCGGTTTTCCCCCAAAAATCTTGCCGTTCGAGATGCGGGGGGGGGGGGGCAGATACGACCCTCTTTCGAACGACAGCAAATCGATCCCCAAGGGAGTTTCTCGACGTTGTGAAGCGTGCGTGCTTGGACCAGGATTCCTCAAGCCAAACACGATCCCGTCCTGCCAGCAACAAAATCGACCCCCGCTTGGGATTCCCCATGGTAAGACGTGCCCTGACGTGAATGCATCTAGAAACTTGAATGAGGTGTGGATGTGTGGCGTATACCCAGCTCATCGACGAATAGGTTACTTCTTATAATTCACTGCATATCCTCGACAGGGACTAGACAGGGAGTCGTGAGACATCACCCACCCTCCCCCTTCCTCCCCCCCCCGCCCCCTTCTTCCGTGATTTTCAGAAACAACCGGGTTCCCACGTGCTCAAAGCCCGAAAATCCTCCGGGAAGGCTACGATGCTGTACACTTCTCTCCCAATGATTAGAACCAGTCAGAGCTCTAATGGACGAAAATTATCAAATTAGCAACTTCGCTCAATATTTCTTCCGCTTTCCACTAGAGAAGCTTCCTGTTGGGGAACCAGCAAAAACACTTGGAGGGTGCCTTATTAAGGGTCTCAGTGGGGCTGTGGGGGACTAGTCGTTCCAGTGAGGTTTGAAATCAGTTTAAGACTTTTCTGAGAGTGCGCTAGCGGGCTGGCGCATCTGCTATTGTTGTAACACAGCGCCACAGGCACTGGCAGCAGCACTGGCAGCAGCAGAGAGCTGCTGAACACAAGCGGACAACTGGACGCGGATGCGTCCAACATCGATTGATATGGAATATTCGAGAAGAACGTGTCGTACGAAAACAATGAAAAACAAAAAATGAAACATTCGGATGAAAATAGTCGGAACGATGCCAAACAGAGCCAGTATAGAGGAAAATCGACAAAAATGAAAGGATAGAAGAAATCATTCACCTTATTCACTGGAATGACCATGAATGGTCCTCCAGCTCCCTTTGTGATAAATGCCACGAACTTTGGATTCACCGAGCAAAACAACGAGTCCCACGTGATCTCGGTGACCTGGAATTGTGAACCGTAAAGGTTACTGTCACACTTGTTCATGCCCTGAAGGATCTTTAGATTTGCCTTTCAGCTACAGAAAAGCAGCTCTACGCGCCTATAAGCTAAAGAAAAAGAGTTATACGGTTCCTAAAGTCGCAAATAAGAATTATTGAAAGAAAACAACAGAATGGACGAGTTGTCTGCGCCCATCACAGCTCCACCCACCCGAAGGTCGGACATGCATTGCTCGTGCTTCAACGGTTTACAGTACACATGACGGAATTTACTCTGACGAACGATCTGAGCCATCTCGCAGGCGATCGATCAGCGATCGATTAGCTGAAATCAATCAACAATATATCGAAGTACGATCGAATGAAAGAGCTAAGCAAGAAACAAGAACGTTGATCGAGAGAGGTTGTGATATCGACGACTGGATATCCCGCACCTCGATGCTCCGCCCCTCAGGGGCCAATCCTCACTCGCAGCCGGCGCCTCATCACGGCAAACACAAATGAGACCTCGAAAGCGTGTGTTGAACACTGGGGCAAAAGGCACGAGGAACGCCAGTCGTGATCTTAAACCAGAGCACGTCTTGCTGTTGGAGAAAATTTTTGCAAAATACGACCCCTACTCCCCCTCCCCCACCATCCCAGAGCTCCTTATGAGCATCAACTATCCAAATAGGGATATCGCGTATATTTTTCATCGAAAAAGCTTCTTAGCGGGCAACCCTCAAAGTTTCCTCCTCTAGTGAGACCCCCCCTCCCTTTCCCATCTCCCATCCTCAAAGGCATAAGGCACCATAATTTGGTAATTGATGAAATATAAATAGTATAGGGGTGCTGTACAATATGAAAATGACGAAAAAGCGAAGTAATCGACCAAAAACCTCCGAAACATCTTTGTTGTTCTGCACGGCATTGGAGGACCGTCTTTGGACGAGTTTTCCCTTGGCATCGTGCCAAAAACCGCTCAGATAGATCAGGCTATACGTATGCATGCATATGCCACGTAGCAACGTTTCATACCAATTGCACTTCATAAATGAAGGCGGTAAGAGCACCAGCGTCGATGTGACCACGTCCATTTGTGGCGGGCAAGTTGCGGTGGGCGTGTGGGTTGTATCCTTGGTTGGGCGCTATAGCGGTGCTCCTAGGTTGGAAGAGGCGCCGCGCTGCGCTTGATGAGGGGCACGATATTCCTCCAGGCTTATCGATGCAGTACGTCTTGTACATTTAAGCTCTATGTACATTTATCGCGAACTTGCCTTCGGATTTTCGCCAACTTCTCTACCCAGCTTTTTCATTCTGCCGCTTCAAAAAACTCTCCAATTCCTTTTGAAAAACTGCTGTCGAGCGGAAAGGGGTGGGCGGCGCGGGTTACATAGCACACTTAAGGCAGGAAAACCGAGGAAAGTCAACAACGTAATACTTCATGAAGCAAATACGACCCCCTCCTCCAGCGATCAAGTACGACCCCCGCTGAGGATCTCCAACGTTCGACGTACCTTGTATGGAACTGGTACAGGCATTTTGATCACAGCCCTGAACAGGCTTTTAATCAGGGGCTCTTGTACCCACTTGAACCCGAGGGCGGCTTAGAATCGCTACCTTCCAGAAACAAGGATCCTTAGCAGGAAGCAATCTTGTGAGGCTGCAAATCCAGGGCATTATAGATGGAAGGATCGTCAGATTACTCACAAAGGATAACGGTCTGGGGTTTCGTCAACCTTCCTGGTAATGTCCTATTCATCCATCCATCCGTTCACTGGGATCTGTGGTTGAAATCTGGGAAATGACGTTTAGTATAGCGGAGTCAACGGGTTAGCTTGATTCCAGCTGGGCATGTCAGGTACCGTGTATTCCTCAACAGGATAGCAACTATTGCTGTTTGTCAGAAAATAACGCGAAATCGCGAGCGCGGGCGCGCGAAACAGTGATCCGACCCCACTGCGCTGGCCTGAGCAACTTGCCTGTCCGAAAAATCGTTCTTCAGAGAAAGATGAAAGTTCAAAAAAGTACATCATCCGTCCGTCCACATCCTTCGCGTCAATGGTCCCTCAATGTTCGTCACTTGCTGGCATTGTGGGGTGAACGGGGCCAGGAGACGATGGCACTATTGCGCCCCTAATTTAGTGCCTTTCTTACCACCATAAGGTGAGACGAAGGGTGGGTCAAGGACGCCGTTTTCTAGCCTTGTCCATCCGGCAACTCGGACGATGTTTTCAAGAAGGAACGAAACAGCGGAATAAGGCGCGCCAATGGCGTCAATTCCGTGTCCCGCCCGGGAGACTGTCAAGACAATCGTAATTTGTCGTTCTGTCGCGCGCGGTGATGGCGCGGCGTTTTTTTTTATTTTCATTAGTCTGCCGACTCTCACTTTTGACGGGCCAAGTCTTACCATTCAGTTCGAGGGCCAGGTACTCCTGCAGGCTCAATGTCGAATGCACGCGTGTCTTGAAGAGGCAATAACGGTAATCAATAAAGACCACATTGTTACTTGTCCTGACCTTCTCATTTTTCTAGACACTTCCGGAAGAATAATGATTTCCGTGGCGTGCACAATGGCCAACAATGAGCGACCAGTTGTTGCGATGCAATAGATCTCTCATGCTCTTTGTTCGACTTTTAAACAGCGGAAAAGATGAAAATAACATGTTTCCACAACAGCTGATTATTTAAGACATCCAGGCGAAAGTACTGCAAGCCCACACCCGCGCACCGCATGTCGGCGTTCTATGCGATTGATTTCGCTGTTTCCGATTTTCTTTACGAGACCTTAGCCGCAGACCTGCATCAGCGAATGCACGCCTTACTTGCTGATGCTTGGACCAATGAAGATAGCCTATATAGGGATGGAGCACGTATGCGACAAGTCAATAGCAATATGCCTCGGTGGGCGTGGCGAGCGGCGCCGCGAATGCGGAAGACGAGTTGTCCTGACCGGCCGTTCTAATATGGACTTTAAAGGGACCGTAAGACTGACATCATTCGAGATGGAGTATTGTCCTCTGTCCCACTTCACATGGATTCCGCTGCTCAGGTGATAAGCTGGACATCGAGAAGTTGCCGCGCACCTCCGCACGGTGCGCCGCGTGCGACGGCGCGACAAAGTGTGGTTGTCGTGTCCGCCTTCAGGATGGAACAGAATTCGCACCCATTTCACAACCAGCACTGCAGCGTGCATTCCACCAACTCGTGGCACTTTGGCTTTTTAGCAGCGCTACACACGCTGGCACGCTTTGCTCCCTGAGAGAA